TGCTGCTCGTGGTGCTGCTGATCATGACGTCGCTGGTGCTGCTGCTGTTGCTGCTGATGATGCTGATGTCGTTCCTGCTGCTGCTGCTGCTGCTGCTGCTGCTGTCGTTGCTGCTGCCGTTGTTGTTGCTGGTGCTTGTGGTGGTGGTGGTGGTGGTGGGGTTGTCTAAGCTGATGATGCTGTTTATGCTGCTGCTTCTGTTGCTGCTGTTGCTGCTGCAGAAACCAAAGGCAGCAGGATCCTGCTGCTGCAGCAAACCCGATGCTGCTGCTGCTGCAGCTGCTGCTGCTGGTTCTGCTGCTGCTGCTGCTCCTGCTGCTCCTGGGGCTGCTGCTAATGCAGATGTGCCCCCCCAGGCGGTACTGTAACAACAGCCATCGCTACTGTCTGCTGCTGCTTCTGCTGCTGCTGCTTCTGCTGCTGCTGCTTCTGCTGCTGCTGCTTCTGCTGCTGCTGCTTCTGCTGCTGCTGCTTCTGCTGCTGCTGTTGCTGCTGCTGCTGCTGCTTCTCGGCTCAACGAGCAGCAGCACAACCCCTGCAGCATCTCCCTTCCTCTTGTTGTATCGGGGGCCGTTGCTGCTCCTGCTGCAGTTGCTGCTGCTCCTGCTGCAGTTGCTGCTGCTCCTGCTGCAGTTGTTGCTGCTCCTGCTGCAGTTGTTGCTGCTCCTGCTGCATCTGATTCTGCTGCTGGATCAGCTGTCTCCCTTCTACTGTCTAAAAAACTGTCTTCAGGACAGCTTGCTGCTGTTGCTGTTGCTGCTGCTGCTGCTGCTGCTGCTGCTGTTGCTGCTGCTGCTGCTGCTGCTTCTTTGCTGTACACATCATATGAGCCTTGCTGCTGCTGCAGCGCCAACTCAAGGCCGCTGCTGCTGCTGCCCCTGCTGCTGCTCTCGCTGCTGCAGCAGACCTTCAGCGTACATCCATTGCATGCACAACACCTGGATCGTCTGCTGCTGCTGCTTGTGCTGCTTCGGCAGCAGCAGCTGCAGCAGCAGCTGCTGCCGCTGCCACGCAGTCCCCGAAGCATGCGCTGCTGCTGCAGCACATCGAGATGCATTGCTGCTGCTGCTGCTGCTGCTGTCTCTGCTGCATGAGAAGCAGCATTCGCTGCATCAGCAGCAACACCAGCAGCAGCACCTGCAGCATCTCCGCCTTCAGCAGCAGCAGCAGCAGCAGCAGCAGCAGCAGGCGTCATTCGGGAGCTGCAGCTGATTCCAACTAACTCATCGCTGTTGCTGCTCCTGTTGCTGCTGCTGCTGCTGCTGCTGTCTTTGCAGCTGCTCGACAGCAGCAAGCCTTGCACTGGGGCAGATCCTATGGCAGATGGGGGTGCAGCAGACGCCGCACATGCAGCAGCAGCAGCAGCTGCTGCTGCTGCCGCAGCTGTCTCTGCTGCTGCAGCTGTTTCTGCTGCTGTCTCTGTAGCAGTTGCTGCAGCAGTTGCTGCAGTTTCAGCGGCACGACATCTTTGTGTCGTTGCTTCGTCAACAGCAGCAGCAGCAGCAGCAGCAGCAGCNGCAGCAGCAGCAGCAGCAGCTGCTGCTGCTGCTGCTTCTGCTGCAGTCGCATGCTGCGCGCTGCATGCACCTGCTGCAGCAGCCCCCGTCTGCTGCAGCAAATGCCCGCTTGCAGGGTGAGGTGTAAACGCATGCAGCTGCAGCAGCTTCGGGGATGTAAAGAAGCTGCTGCTGCTGCTGCAGCAGCAGCGGAATGCTTCTCTCTCCAGTCGGTGCAGCAGATGCTTTGGGGGCGGCCGCAGCATCCATCGAGGACGTTCTTGCTGCCGCTGCTGCTGCTGCTGCTGCTGCTGTTGCTGCTCCTGCTGCTGCTGGTTGTCTATCGCTTCGTCATTGTTTGTCTCTGAAGACGGAGGAGAAGTTGTTGTTGCATTGTCGCTACAGATACTGATGCAGTTGCTGCTGCTGCATGAGCTGCTGCTGCTGCTGCTGCTGCTGCTGTTGTTGCCACTGCTCACGCTGCAGCTGTTGCTGCTGCTCTGCAAGCTTTGCAGCTCGAGTGGCTCTGAACTGCTGCTGCTGCTGCTGCTGCTGCAGCAAGAGCGGGGAACGTGAAATGTATGGGCACCTGCAAATACATCCTTGTGCGCCTCATCGAACGCTGCTGCTGATGCTGCTGCTGCTGGCGCTGCTGCTGCTGCTGCTGCTGCTGCTGCTGCGTCACCACATCCCCATTCATATACTGAAGAACGGCTCTCCTGTTGGTGGAGGCGGTGGTGCTGCTGCAGCGCTGGCAAGCGATGGTGGTGTTGCTGCTGCTGCTGTTGCTTCTGCTGCTGCTGCTGCTGCTGCTGCTGCTGCTGCGCCGAAGGGGTTTCGGAACCTGAGGTGTCCGTACACCTGAAGGACGAGGATTCATCCATCTACAAATTGGGTCTGCGTTTGCCGCTGCAGAAGAGAAAAAGAAAAAGAAAATGAATCTGAGACGGCGTCAACTGCTGCGAGCGAACTGCAGCAGCAGCAGCAGCAGATTGAGGGAGGTGTCTGTACACCTGAAAGATCCCCGTTCTTTGCACTATAAAAAGCAAACGAGAAAAATAAAAGAAAAACGCCATTCAGGCTCTCAAATTTCAGCGATTTGTTTGCAATTACAACAAGCTGTCTGTAGATCAGCCCCGGCTGCTGCTGCTGCTGCTGCTGCTGCTGCTGCTGTTGCTGCTGTTGCTGCTGCTGCTGCTGCTGCCGTTCCTGTGCAACTTTTCGTTTGCCGGTATTCGAACGCGGGAGCGGTGGCTGCTGTTCTTCTCTTCTTGCTTTCCCTTCTTTGCTTTTGAAATAAACAAATATAAATAAATTAATTTATATATTCTTAATTAATTAAAAGCAAAAAATAAAGCTTTCTTATATTCCTGCATTCATATCTAGCCACGACGATACACGGTGGTGGCGTGTGACGATGGTTAGTTAGTTCAGGTGTTTCGTTTGGCTTGCTGAACGCGGCAACGCCTCTTGAATTTAACTTTCAATTTATTTTTTTTAATTTAATTTACAAATTAAATATATTTCCAAAAAAAATATTTAAAAATTGTTTGCTGCTGGGCGGGATCGGCTCGGTGGTGGTTGTCGCCTGCGTGCCCGCCGGTGTATGCACAGCGGTTGCTCTGTTGCAGTAGTTTTTAGTTTTGTTGTTTACGGTGTTTTATATATCTTTAGCGACAAATTTAAACAAAAGCAGTCGCGGGTTTAACCTCTCAGTTACAGAAGAATTCAAAAAGCAAAAAGCACAGAGATCGGGGCACACCTACACCCACGTCGTAGCATATATACATACCCCGTGCAGGTTGGCTTGCGTAGCCTGGCTTGTGTGCATGCTGAGTATGAAGGGCGAAGGAACTGTTGAGCGAGTGTATATGGTGTCAGTGCATGCAGCGAAAGGGGCTGTGCAACGCTTGCATGCGGGGTCGCAGTGACGCACGAGTTGCAGAAAAGTTTCTCGCTGCTCATCTCATGCCGTCTCCTCTACACTGGCCACAGTTCCTTGGGCCGCCTGTCCCAGGCCAGGCCCCCCTTTGACTGAAGAGGTGAGCATCTGCTTTCTCGGAATTCTTATCTAGAGTATTTTGACTCTATCGCGCCTCACGACTGTCCTCGGAGAAGATTGAGTTAGGAGCTGAGGGGCACTCTCTTTATACTTGGTAGCACCGTATGGTCGTTTCATCGGGGCAGGAGCAAGCAGCTAGACCCACCCCATAAAAAAGCCTGCCTAGAACGTAGCAGTAATTGAGAAGAGACGAAACTTGTTTTCTACCGCCCCATCGTGTGAGACTTCACGGTTCCCTACGGGAACTGATACTGGTCTTCGTCAGCGTTTGTGTTGTCGTCGGCGGAACAAGTCGCAGTGCTGCATATACTGATTCGTGCATTGATTGATGAGGGTGGGCTCCACTTTCCGAGGGAACCGATATCCGTAGGGCCCCAAACCCTCCTTAGTTGGCCTGCTATATGGGAGTTTCTCACGGCGCCACCTTTGCAGAGCACATCAGGTCAATGCATACATTCCGCGATGTGTTGCAACTGCCACATGAAAAGCCTTCATTCGTAAAGGGAGAAAGGCGTTTGTGTTCACATGCAAATAATTAGACTCCTCCTCAAGAGACACGAAATCCTAATAAGCACATATTTAGCTTCTCACGGATTCGTGTCTCTTCAACAGGAGTCGAAACATATCCTGCGAAGACTGACGTTATTCAGAAGTGGCGCCGGCTGTTAACCCAGTACATTCGTACGTACCTCCAGGAACTCGTTGGTCTCTCACGCTAGTATCAGCGAAGATGCAAGAATTAAGATATGTGGTGGCATGTATGCATTTTGTAAGCGACAGCAACACCAACGGCAGACAGACAGCGGTGACAATCGTTGCGGGTCAGCAGGCCAGGGCAAACAAGCAGAACGAGAAGCAACATGAGCAGCTGGGGGTCTCTGCGCCTCCTTTGCAGGAGGCGACAGCCACAAGCAATAAAAGCACATTCACAGGCAACGTAAGTGCAAGAGGTCCTGTGCTGTGTGCGGAAGAGGGAGTACAGATGTAGCTCAGTCTGTGCGAAGCTAGTACAGGAACATTCACGTGGCGTTGGTAGGCTGCCTCTAAGCAGATACAAATCTACAGGTATCTACAGAGACAATAAATGCAGCAAAGAAAGCTTGGTTGTGCTTCCCCGTGAGTCTGACTTGCACCGTTAGTTGCAGCTATCTGCGCTGCAACTCTTCTCATGTCGCCTCCTCTCCTGCAACCCGAGCCCTTGAGCCGCTCCGCCGAGGAGAGCTGGAGACAAGGGCCGGATATGCTTCGATGAAAGTATTTCCCTGAGTGTTTTGGCTCCACCGCGACAAACTACGGTCCTCAAACACTGCCAAAGACTCTCGCCGAGGAGTTTCGTTACTTTTTATAATAAAGTTCAAGCGGGTTCGCATGTTTACGAGATCAGATGGTAAAGGATTTAATCATTTAATCTTATTCCTATTAGTAAATCTATTATACTGGCGTTTTGTTGAAGCTATTTGGATAGTAATTAAGCCCGTCGCTGTGCTGAGGGCGCCTGGTGATAGATGTGGAGATCAGGGTTTTTCTTTTCACATACTCTGTGGTGTACTGCAGTACAGTGTTGCGCAGGAATAACCTTTAGATATTATATAAGTATAATATAATAGAAAAAGAACAATTAATATGTAATTAGAAACAAAACAAAAGAAGAAACCCAACATTACAACATGTATGGGTTGGGGTGCAGCACTGAAGCTGGCAATGGCTGCTGGAGAACGATACATCGGTTCTATCCTTTAAAGATTTGTGTTTTTCAGGAACTATGGATATGTTATTTAAAAAAAAAAANAAAAAAAAAAATAATAAAAATATATGTAAAAAATAATAATATATGTTGTAGTGTATTTAGTATACACAAACAGGAATCCTCTTATTCAATAGAGTAGTAATAGAAAATGCAAGAACTCAACTGGGTCTAGCACGGTATATAATCTCTCGTGATAATCTTTGCGCACGATGAAACAAAAAAGTTCAAGTTGATAAATATTTAATTATTAATATATTTTTTGTGGAGAAGTTGAGGTTTACTGTTCAAGTTGATACTTATTTAATTATAAATATATTTTTTGTGAAGAAAAAGAGTTTTACTGTTTCTGCATTTGATGAATTCATGCAATCGTGAGGAAGCGGTATACGGTATCTTCTTGCGCAGGCCAAGGACAGGTTGCTAGACGAATACAGCTCAATAAATACCTCACCCAATCATTTTTTTTCCTTTTTAATTGAAAATATAAAAAAAAAATAAAAATAATTTAGAAAAATGGCTGCACTGGTTCTCCTGCTGCTACGAGGCGCACCGCAGTGGGCAGTGTGAGCCCTCGATTGTAAAGCCAATGGTCGAAGTACCTTCGCCTGCGTTTCCTCTCTGCTTCATGAATATTTTTTATAAATTTTGATTTATTTTAATATATTTTATTTTTAAATGCTTGAAAACCAAGATTTCACTCACTGAGAGGGCTCGCGTTGAGCACTCTCGATGCCGGTTTTTCTACGCAGTGCGTCGGCCGTGGATCTCTTAGCTTTCCAGCCTGTCACGCGTTGAGACAAAGAAAAAAATATCCTCGTTTGTTTTTTATAGAGTGAAATTCATGAATACGAGCCCGAAGCCGCAGCAAGTGCAGGGGAAAGGAGTATAGAAGGCAGCCAGATCGAGCGTATACTGGTCGCTGGTGGCTGGGGGGGTGGTTTGTTTGCCTTTCCTTACAGCTCATACAGAAGATACAACTAAAAGAGAGAAATATTATATAATATATATCTGCAGATGCAGTGAAAGATTCTTTTCTTTTGCACACGAAAACTGAAACACAGTGGAATGTTGTATTGTTATTGAAGGGGCAGAGTTTATACTAAGAAAAGATACAGTGGAATGTTGTATTGTTATTGAAGGGGCAGAGTTTATACTAAAAAAAGATAATGGCATTACGTTCTTCTTGCGTCACCAAAGCATTCATTATAGCGGGCGTATCTCTTCTTCTTCTCGCTTTAGCCATCCTAGGGATTGCATTCGGTGGGGTTATGCTCAAGTATATATATAAATATATATATAAATATATATATATATATATATATATATATATATATATATATATATATA